TTCTGGATGGGCTCACAGACAAATTGGTACTTTTGTCCAGACGCTGGGATCCTAGTGATGATTACCTCAGACAGAAATCTACACAGTCTCGTCAACTCAGCAAGTAAACGACGCTAAAAGGCGCGCTGGTGAAAATCGATTAGAGATCGGCTTTGCAGAAGAGAAAAAATAACTGGAGACGTTTTTTTCTCCCGCAATTTGTTTGTGTGAACCCGTTTCCGTTTCAATGTTGGCTTTTCGTTTGAAAGCAATTAAATTTGATTAAAGAGATCGATTACTGTTCAATATAGTTTGGAGAACGTCGTTCCCAATAATGACGTCAAGTTTCTTCGCAAACAAACGTGACTTGGTTCACGAAATAAAATTCACATTTTACTTTTTATGGGAAGATGGCCATTTGAACAGTAAGTTTGAATATTACTCGCAATACCATAGTCCTTTCTCACGCTTTCAGCTCAACCACAATGCTTTTAATGATTCTATTGGGAACAAATTACCGAAGTCAAGCCACCAAGGGATGTCTTCATAAGGCATTGGCCTATTCACATGACAAAATGTTTAAATAAATTGGATTTATACTTTTAGATTTGTTTTTCAAATGATCACTAACACCCCAGACATACCAATAAATGTTCTGTGGCGAGAGACATGGGAGTCCAGCTTGGTTGCAGAACAATAATTTGTGTTCGTTTTTTTAGATTAAGTAGAATATTTCACCGTTTTTATTTTTTTTCAACCAGACTTACTAGAACGTTAGTCAAACAAATGACTGCTGAAATTGTTCTTTTCAAGAATGGTTGGACAGATAATATAAATCCACATTTGAAACAAACCATGGTCTGGTTTCAGGAAAAAACAAAAGAAATAATATATTTTTAATAGAACATTCTGTTGAATTCAGCATTGTCTGAGATTAAATTATATATTATTAAGTATATATTAAAAAAGTCGCACGTGACAGGAAGGAAACGCTCCCTGTCATTCGTTTTGTTCAGGAGAGTGAGTGAGAGAAGGTTGTTTTACGCCGCAACCAGTTATACAGTATACCAAATACACACCATATACCCACTCGTGAGATGAGGTGAAACGTCGCGTTCAAGATTATTGCACTTATTTAGCGACGTGCCCGCGCGCGTGCGTGTTTGTCTGCTTTTACTTGCACGAACTCGGATTCAGAACTGACAATTTGTCCTCGTGGTCAGTACTGTGAAGACCCGCGACACAACTTCTTTGTCTGTTGCAATTAGGATAAAGTTAGAAGCAATTTAGTATATTATACTAAAATATGATATTAAAACTACAATACTCTACGGATATGAAGGCCTATCATCTGAATTAAATCAAGAGATTATTTTATCTGTCTATACTTTCTCCACACATTCTGGTAGATTTAAACTTAATAAATTCTCTAAACACTGACACATGATATATACGTTTATTATATACTTCTGTGTGAAAGACTGAGTTTTCTGAAGTGAACATACCCTGACGGAACTATTGCCATACAAGAGTAACCTCCCCTGAAATTGTCCCCCTTTATCCCTGTGTCTGACCCGTACACAAACTGTTGACGTCTTGCTACGTGAGTTCCACATTGATCAGGCAAAAATAATGACAGATGGTCTGTGGAGTGAATATCACTTCTTGCTGTTTGTTATTCTCTCGCAAATGTTTCGTAAATTTCTTATTAAATTCGTCAAACAAGACTGTTGGTTTCGCAAAGCGCGATTTTTTTAAATTGACCAACGTGTATGCTTTCGCTTCCAACAGCTGCATCGTTGATTTCAAGAATATTTTTGGTTAAAGTTGATTTTGTATATAATCATATCTAATTGTACGATAAAGAATTTTCGTGACGCTAAATTATTCTCGACACTTTTGTTTATATTTTTGTAAGATTTTGTAAACACGAAACTCTCGCAAATACAAGGGTGATGAACCGTCCCGGTGTGTTCGGTTGGAAGAATTTACGTTTCAAGGTTTTTACATTTGTAATGAAATAATTTAATTTTCCAGCAGACAATTACACAAAAACTATATAATACATAAGAAATTGCATGTGTCTCGTGAAATAGCATGTTTCTCTCATCGAGTGACGGGGGAAAGGAGATATTTTCCGTCACTCGATGAGAGAAACATGCCATTTCACGAGACACATGGACTATCCTCCATAGCTTGTGGTTATTGTGTAGTAACTAATGTTACTGACGTATAATGCCGTCACACAGACTGTGAAAACCGGACGCTGTTGTCAATGACAACTGATCACCGAGGAATATGTTGTATAGTTAGGAATGCCCTGACTATCTCTTGTTACTTGATTTTCATATCGGGACAGGTATTCAAATTAGAGTTCAAACCCAATTTCAAGTCGAAATATCTTTAAACCATTACCAAATCCTGACCAGCCCAACCGATGAACGAAAGCATGAGTACATTGCACGAGGACACAGTGACCGCGCATCCCTGCACCTCCATCCTCTCAAGATCCGTCTGTCATCACGAAATAAAACATTCGAGAGTGGACAGAAGTCGTTACACGCATGTAACACAGTGATATATTTCGTTTTGTGAAGATCCGGGTTAGAATAGGTCTTCAGCAACCCATGCTTGTCGTAAGAGGCGACAGACGGAATCGGGTGGTCAGGCCCGCTGACTTGGTTGAAAAGCCGGAGATAGCAGCGTAGTCCTCAATATCCACAGGCTCATTTAGTCTCAAGAAACAAGCGTACATCGGCGTCGGTACAGTGGACCCACGCAATGCAAGTATTTAATGAACACTCTGCATCGAGTCTGTATCAATCATTGGATGTTGTTATCCACGTTCCTTGGCGTGAATCACGGGCGACCTCGAGTGTTACACTGGCGGAGTGCATGATCACACTCTGATGGTGCTGAATCATTTTAAAGTCAGCTTGGACTCCGCTTCCCATCAACCGCAACCCAAAACCAGCGTAATAGCCACATATGTCTCTCTTGTTTTGCTTGTAACGCAATCCCCTGGTCGTAACGTTTGATGTATTATAGGAAAGAACGACTGCTAACAAAGGTTAAACAGAAGTCTTCTGAGTTTACGCTCTTACGATATACGTCAGCACCTAAACAATATCATTTTGCACTGTCGTGTTTCTTTGGGTCATGATATTTGTTTTTTTCTGTTTTTTAAAAAGTCATGACATTAAAATCGTCAGTTTTCTTGATGCCAGTAATACTGAATATGTTTATTGAATAAGACCAATATGTCAATGAAAAAATGACAACAGCCTTCGAGTGAGCGAGTGAGTATGGGTTTAGCTCCGCTTTCAACAATATTTCAATTATTTCACGGCGTGTCAGCTTATTTAGTAAGGCGGGCGGTCGGGTAGCCTAGTGGTTAAAGCGTTCGCTTGTTCACGCCAAAGACCCGGGTTCGATTCCCGACGTGGGTACAATGTGTGAAGACCATTTCTGGTGTCCCCCGCCGTGATATTGCTGGAATATTGATAAAAGCGGCGTAAAACCATACTCACTTACTCACTTATTTAGAAAGGGAAGCCAAAGGTGTAGAAATCTACACCTGGTTGAAACAAAATTTTATTTCATGGCTTTGTCAACAGGCGATAAAAAATACTTATATCACAGTGGATGATAAAAAGCTAAACTTAAAATATATATAGCTGTACAAAACATGTACTTGTACATTGTAACATATGCATGAACAGATTCTATCAGTCTAATAATTGCTTATGTGACGGAGTTATGTCTCCAGATAACACGACATTAAGACCATAACCTTTTCAAAAACAGAAACGATTTGATCTTATGTCCGTTTAACGTTTACATTAACATAGATAATGAAGATTATCTTCGTAATAGTGTACGAAATCTGCGACTTTGGTGAAACCCACGATCAAGGACAGAGTGTGATGATGGATCACAATGAGGACAAATCTCGGCTTCGAACCACCGCATACCAACGTATCAAGGGAGCTAAGGGACGTAACTCTTCACAGTGTAATGTAGCGCCTCAGATGGGTAGGTAAGCATTTATATTGGAACCGAATATTGTTGAAATCTCAAATATAGTTGCTCATGTGCGTGTGGTAGAATTGAAACGCTGCTTTTGTCATTCGTTTTGTCCGTTCTTTTAATTTTTGAGTAATTTTTGAGTGAATGAGAGAAGGTTGATTTTCGCCGCAGTCAAACCACGCACTATTCCCATAACTTCAATCTTTTAAAAATATGTTTAGTAATATAGTGATTGAGTTTGTGGTTAGTCTCACCCCACACCACGTTATACCAACATATGCCCAAACATTGTTGTTACCCTGCCTGGAGCACGGCATTAATGGCATAAAACAAGGACTGGTTGGCTGGGACTATAAAACCGGCATCTTCCCGGACTAGAACAAGCAGTCCCCCCCCCCCCCCCCCCAACACACACACACACACACACACACCCCAACACACACACACACACACACACACACACACACACACACACACACACCCCAACACACACACACACACACACACACACACACACACACGCACACCACGTACACTACACATACGTCGCTATGTAACAATCATCACTTCACCTCATCCCCGCGAACCTTCGGTATGCACCACGCCAAGCGTTTGGCGCTTCACGGGGAATTAGGTACCGCTGTGACGTTGTCTTTACTTGTTGATCATGTCAACAGTAAGCATTGTCTGTTAATTAAGCTTGTCGCTATACACCAACGCACTTGGTGATATCACGTTTTTCTAAAGCAGCCTTGACAGAATCACGTGACTTCGCGTCAAGCTACATTGTTTATTTGTGGCCATGCATAAATCATTCTCAAGTGCGGAAAGGTCTCAGAAAATCTGTGCATACTGTAAAACCTTGGTTGGGATGGGAAACCTGGGTTGGGGTGGGCTTTGGGTCTTTGGGTCTTTGGTTTGAGTTTTCGGCTGGGGTCTCTTGTACTACCAGATGCAATATGTGAACAAAACCCCGAAACTGTGTTGGGGACATGTCACGTGACAACATCTGCCTCGCCGCAGGAGAGTCTGGACCCATCATGGCAGCAATCACAGATGCTGGATTTTTCCAGCAGACGAATTTTTATGTGCAAGCTTTGAAATATGTACAAGGTAGCCAATGAGAAAGATTTTGAATTGTTTATTTTTACTAAAGTTCTGTGAAATCATTCATGGATAGTAGTGATGCGGCCATGACGTCAAGCTTCAACAGAAAACATGTGATGTGCACCCAAACAAGTCCAAGACCCCAGCCCAAGACCCCAGCACAAGACCTCAGCCCAAGACCCAAGCCCACAACCCCAGCCCACAACCCCAGCCCAAGACCCCAGCCCATAACCCCAGCCCAAGACCCCAGCCCATAACCCCAGCCCATAACCCCAGCCCAAGACCCCAGCCCATAACCCCAGCCCATACCCCCAGCCCAAGACCCCAGCCCATAACCCCAGCCCAAGACCCCAGCCCACAACCCCAGCCCACAACCCCAGCCCATAACCCCAGCCCATAACCCCAGCCCAAGACCCCAGCCCATAACCCCAGCCCAAGACCCCAGCCCATAACCCCAGCCCGTAACCCCAGACCCCAGACCAAGACCCCAGACCCCACCCCACCCCACCCCAGGTCTAACTGATGCCGGAAATCTGCCCATTCTTGCCGCTTTGCATACGAACGCTTTAAATATGACAAATTTAACCAGGTGTTATCAGCGGGAACTGCTGATTGAGTCAACACACTACGGGTGGCCAAGTCGTCTAACACACTGCAATTCGACCTGTGAAGTTGTTTTCCTCAGGCGTGCCAGGATCCTGTGATCTTGGTTTCGAATTGATGCGCGTTGATTATGATCATTGGTTTGTCAGCTCAAGGTCGACAAATACTCGTGTGTTTTACCAGAATGGCAACCTAGAGTTGGAGTTTCCCTCCCACACTGACATGACACACCGTCATAGAATTGTTCAGTGTCCCTTGCTCTGTTGTCAGCAGTGGCGATACGATGAACGACATACTGTAGGCGCTGGTTCGATTCCAATCTGGCCAAGAGGGCCCCGAGAGATTTCGATTCGAATGGGATATGGGTGCGTTTACAAACATAACAAGCTGAAGTAACCGACTTTTTTATTTGTTTTGTCATTGAGATATACCTTGCTACACCTAGGTATCTGGATGAGCACAGTTCCAAACTGCACGCACAATTAAGAAGCGAGAGAGAGAGAGAGAGAGGGAGAGAGAGAGAGAAATAGTAATATGCTTCATGGTGGGCTTAGCATTAATTTGCACAGAGGACAATCGAATCCGTATTTCCATTGCGAAGGCTACCTTAATCCCGTCACTAACTCGCAATAATAGTTGAAAGGTAGTGTATGCTTGACCATTTACTTATGAATTCCCATCACAAGTAAGTGAGTGTGATTTTACATTACATTTACAACGGGAGAAATGGCTTCACTCAATGGAATGATAGTTGGAATTAAACCCGGGTTCTCGGCGTGATGAGCGAACACTTTAACCACAAGGCTACCTGATCGCCCACTTGCAATAATGTGCAATCCGACTATATTATTATTATTATCATTAATAATAAACGCAGCAAAGAGGGTTTGGGTGACCCTGGCACACTCAGGCTCGTTAGGCTCATCATCAGCTCAGGGCCCTTGCCCCCTATACACACAGCCCACACAGCGAATGGGACTTCTCCCAGGAAGGGCTGCCTAGACAAACCCACCCAGAACTTTTCGGAGAATGTGAAGACTTCCCAACACTGCAGCCTTCTGCATTACCCAGATTGTCAGAAGGGCTGTATTCCTGGGAGCAAACCCGGGTACTCTCCCAATGTCAGTCAACAGATTAGGAGATACCAAACCTAAGGCACCGAGAACAATGGGGAGTCGGACAACTTGGTACTTGGGATGCAAGCGTGACATCTCGAAAGCAAGGTCTGCATACTTACCATGTTTTTCCTGAATCTTGTCAATCACATTAGTGTCAAAAGGGACAGAGAATTCAATAATAAAAATGATTTCATTGGATTTATCAAAAAGGACAAGAACAGATTTGTTGGGCTGGATACGTCTAAGGCTGTAAATGGGCCTATTCCAAAGAATGTGTATTTATCATTTTCCATGACGCCCTCTTCATATTCTGGCTCGTACCATGGATGGACCTCTGCGCCAAAACCACAAGCATTGCGAAGACGGTAATAAAATGATCGAGCCACTCCATCATGTCGCTTCAGATACTATGTGCATACCAAAGCTGCGCATCCACTGACAATGTGTTACTGTTGTTGTTGTTGTTGTTGTTGTTGTTGTTGTTGTTGTTGTTGTTATTATTATTATTATTATTATTATTATTATTGCTGGGACTGCCAATTTAAACCGGTAACTAGAATTCAAGATACAAATGAAAGGATCTGGGACGGTGGAACAAAGACTAACATTCAAATTCAAATTAATCGTCGATTTGATAATATTGTCTCTTAATGTAAACCTCTTAAGCTTCGTTACGGTTCGTATTGACCACAAAATCTGAAACTGAATTAGAAGTTTTTATTACCTTGACAACCCAAGCCTACAGGCACCTTTTTTCTAAGCTACGAGTTATCGCTCCCATAAGTCGTGACGACATGTCGTTCTCCGAGCTAAACATTTATTTCATCAGAACTTAATATCAGCGAATATTCGCCTCCAAGTACTTTGATATTAAGCCAACTCGACATAAATAAAGACAAAGAGTTTGCTTATTATATTTCCGCAGCATAAGGTGAATACAAAAAAGCATTTGTTTTCTTTGATCTTGAAAAAAATACAGCAACCTTACTACTGGGATTCAGTCACTTTGAAGGAGTGTTGAGTTTTCTGCACCGGGAAATGTACCTGGTCTCCGAGTGTATTTGACGTAAAATTACAGAACGGATAACAAGGTTTTGATATTGGAAAAAAGTCGTTTAATCAGGTTGTACACGTTTGAACTGTCTGGGGGCAGTTTTGACTTGTGCTTTTAATTACGTTGTCTTTGTTTACGAAGGAATGGGGCTCGTATGTTCAATTAATGGGGCACATGCCTCCCCAACTTGGCCGGGGAGCTTATACAAAGATAAAAACGTGTTTTCTAAGAGATCGCCACTTCTTTTACAAGAGAAACATAAAACAGTGGGATATGAGCGGGGCTGTAGGAGGGGGTGCGGCAGGAGAACTGAACATCATAGCTTAAATACAGGAGAAGTGGCAGCGGACCGCTCAGTTAGTTGAGGGTATGCAAGCATATGTAGCCAGGTTCAAGTGGTGGGGATGGAGTGAGTGAAGCTGAGGCTGCGGCTGTGGTTGTGGCCGTGGCTGTATGTGGTTGTGCTTGTCGTTGTGGCTGTAGCTGTGGTTGCAGTTGTAGCTGTGGCTACGACTGTGGTTGGCTGTGGTTGTGGTTGTGGTTGTGGCAGTGGTTGTGACCGTGGCTGTAGCTGTGGTTGTAGTTGTAGCTGTGGCTACGACTGTGGTTGGCTGTGGTTTTGGTTGTGAGTGAGTGAGTGAGTTGGGTTAACGCCGCTTTTAACATTATTCCAGTTATATCACGGCGTGTCAGCTTAATGTGGGAGGAAAGCCCGACGTGATGCAGGTCTCAGACATTTACCACTTCGGTGAAACCCACGAGCACGGCTAGGTGCTGACAAACCTAGAAACATAATCGGGGCGAAGGTTGTGGTTGTGACCGTGGCTGTGGTTGTAGTTGTGGTTGTGACCGTGGCTGTTGTTGTAGTTGTGGTTGTGACCGTGGCTGTTGTTGTAGTTGTGGTTGTGACCGTGGTTTGTGGTTGTGACCGTGGCTGTGGTTGTAGTTGTGGTTGTGACCGTGGCTGTTGTTGTAGTTGTGGTTGTGACCGTGGCTGTGGTTGTAGTTGTGGTTGTGACCGTGGTTTGTGGTTGTGACCGTGGCTGTGGTTGTAGTTGTGGTTGTGTCCGTGGCTGTTGTTGTAGTTGTGGTTGTGACCGTGGCTGTTGTTGTAGTTGTGGTTGTGACCGTGGTTTGTGGTTGTGACCGTGGCTGTGGTTGTAGTTGTGGTTGTGTCCGTGGCTGTTGTTGTAGTTGTGGTTGTGACCGTGGTTTGTGGTTGTGACCGTGGCTGTGGTTGTTGTTGTGGCTGTGGCAGTGGACGTGGCTGTGGATGTAGTTGTGGCAGTGGCTGTGATTGTGGCTGTGGCTGTGGGAATGGCTGTTGATGTGACCGTGGCTGTGACGGTGATTGCGGTTGTTGCTGTGATTGTGGCTGGACGTGGTTGTAGTTGTAGTTGTGGCAGTGGCTGTGGCTATGGTTGTGGATGTAGTTGTTCATGTGGTTTTGGATGTGACCTTGGCTGTGGTTGTGGATGTGGTTGTGGATGTGGACGTGACCGTGGCTGTGTTTGTAGTTGTGGATGTGGTTGTGGTTGTAGTTGTGGATGTGGCTGGTTGTGTTTATGGTGTGGTTGAACCTGTGACTAAAGCTGCATGTGACACTGTGACTGACTGTGGCTGTGGTTGTGGCTGTAGCCGTGGATGGTTATGTGATTGGCTGTGGCCTGAATGTGGTTGTTGTGACTGCGGCTGAGGTTGTGGCCGTGGCTATTGGTTTGGCTGTGGTAGTCGTTGTAGCTGTGGTCGTGGTGATAAAATGGATATAATGCTTGGTGGCTGTACAGACAGTGGTTCGTTGTTGTATAGACAGTGTGGGGGTTTGTGCAGATAGGTGTTAGTGGTTTTGCAGACAGTCCAAGTGCTTTGCAGACAATGATAAATGGTTTTGAAGAGAGTATTATAATTAGTTGTTTAACAGACATAGGATGGCGGTTGTACAGTTGTTAGCGGTTGTGCAGACAGTGTTAGGGCGTTAGGTGAATATGCAAACTGTTGTTAGTGGATGTCCAGACAATGGTTAGTGGTTGTGCTGACCATTGTTAGTTGTTGTGCAGACAATGGTGATTGGTTGCGCAGACAATGGTGAGTGGTTGTGCAGACAATGGTAAGTGGCTGTGCAGACCATTGTTAGTTGTTGTGCAGACCATTGTAAGTTGTTGTGCAGACAATGGTTAGTGGTTGTGCAGACAATGGTTAGTGGCTGTGCAGACAATGGTTAGTGGTTGTGCTGACCATTGTTAGTTGTTGTGCAGGACAATGGTGATTGGTTGCGCAGACAATGGTGAGTGGTTGTGCAGACAATGGTAAGTGGCTGTGCAGACCATTGTTAGTTGTTGTGCAGACCATTGTAAGTTGTTGTGCAGACAATGGTTAGTGGTTGTGCAGACAATGGTTAGTGGCTGTGCAGACAATGGTTAGTGGTTGTGCTGACCATTGTTAGTTGTTGTGCAGGACAATGGTGATTGGTTGCGCAGACAATGGTGAGTGGTTGTGCAGACAATGGTAAGTGGCTGTGCAGACCATTGTTAGTTGTTGTGCAGACCATTGTAAGTTGTTGTGCAGACAATGGTTAGTGGTTGTGCAGACAATGGTTAGTGGCTGTGCAGACAATGGTAAGTGGTTGTGCAGACCATTTTTAGTTGTGCAGACAATGGTAAGTGGTTGTGCAGACCATTGTTTCTGGTTGTGCAGATAATAGTTAGATGTTGTGCAGACAATGCTGAGTGGTTGTGCAGACCATTGTTTCTGGTTGTGCAGACCATTGTTAGTTGTTGTGCAGACAATGGTGAGTGGCTGTGAAGACCATTGTTAGTTGTTGTGCAGACAATGGTGAGTGGTTGTGCAGACCATTGTTAGTGGTTGGGCAGACCATTGTTAGTGGTTGTGCAGACCATTGTTAGTGGCTGTGAAGACCATTGTTAGTTGTTGTGAGACCATTGTTAGTGGTTGTGCAGACCATTGTTAGTGGCTGTGAAGACCATTGTTAGTTGTTGTGCAGACAATGGTGAGTGGTTGTGCAGACCATTGTTAGTGGTTGGGCAGACCATTGTTAGTTGTTGTGCAGATAATGGTGAGTGGTTGTGCAGACCATTGTTAGTGGCTGTGAAGACCATTGTTAGTTGTTGTGCAGACAATGGTGAGTGGTTGTGCAGACCATTGTTAGTGGTTGGGCAGACCATTGTTAGTGGCTGTGAAGACCATTGTTAGTTGTTGTGCAGACAATGGTGAGTGGTTGTGCAGACCATTGTTAGTGGCTGTGAAGACCATTGTTAGTTGTTGTGCAGACAATGGTGAGTGGTTGTGCAGACCATTGTTAGTGGCTGTGAAGACCATTGTTAGTTGTTGTGCAGACAATGGTGAGTGGTTGTGCAGACCATTGTTAGTGGTTGGGCAGACCATTGTTAGTGGCTGTGAAGACCATTGTTAGTTGTTGTGCAGACAATGCTGAGTGGTTGTGCAGACCATTGTTAGTGGTTGGGCAGACCATTGTTAGTGGTTGTGCAGACCATTGTTAGTGGTTGGGCAGACCATTGTTAGTGGTTGTGCAGACCATTGTTAGTTGTTGTGCAGACCATTAAGTTAGTTGTTGTGCAGAAAGTGTAGTTACAGGAAGTGCTGACAATGGTTGAGGTTGAGTGATAGAAGAACTACTGTATCGTGGCCATACTCTTGAATAACAACGAATCAATGGTAAGAGTACCAGCGGTGAGAGACGAGGCGTCAGCTGCAGACTGCATGGGGAATACCACAACACTGACATCTCCTGTATGTGGACTTTGCAGGGTATTTAATCTGGGTTTCACGACGTCAGTAATAACTGACTGGAGTACAGATTGGAATTTGATTTTCATCTTTAATCATTTGGAAGGTTAGGTGTCTGGATGGGGCTAGTTTCACTGGTCTGTTATATGTTGATAATGACCGCAGTAGGAATTCCTGACACACAATCAGCCTTCCAAAAGCACCATAATAACACAAACAGCTATCGCCGAGCAGGCTGCCCCTCAGGAAATATTTGCCACGCCGATAACCCTTTGATGCTCTAAACTAGAAACCTAGCTTTTATCTTAAGAGAAACAATCTCTTTTTTATGTGTGAAGACCGCCTCCTCTCCACCCTCTTTATCAGCGCCTGTCCCGTCGGCCGGCAGTCTCCGTGTGGTTTGTCTAGCCTTGACGTTTATACGGTTTTTATGAGATTTCATCTCGAGAACCTTTTAGAGACCCCTAATTATAGCTATCTTGTATTCGCGGCCGCGATAGACATGTTTTATCTCTGATTTGGGCGAGAATATACGAGATTAACACACCCCGCGTGTGTTGTCAAACGAGGGCTTCCTCGGTGCAGTTCAAACGTTATTCTTGTACCAAGGGAGATAATTCACGTGTTGTCGTAACAACCACTAAAGTATTGATTTTCAGAGGACGTATAAAGGACTAAAACAAGATTACTAAAAGAATGTGAATCCCTTTATGCCACAGTCTGGACATTTATACTTCAATAGAGTAATTCGGACGTATCTCCGACTTAAGAGTAATTCACTTAAGATGAAACTTGATAGAAATGTCAAACTTCCGTGTCTACGAGCTTCTAGGCTTTGATTGGTGTGTATTGAATGGGATGTCTTATTTCAACCAGGGTTCTGTCAGGATTTTCTAGCGGACACACAAACAACTCGCCTCGAATTAATACTTGAATGATCAGACGCGTTAAAATAGATATGTTTGTTTGTTTAACGTCGCACTCAGCAATATTCCAGCTACATGACGCCGGACTGACGTTAAACAAACAAAACCCCACGCATCGATTCTAAACTTCATAAATAGTGAACATTTTCAAAAGTGAGTGAGTATTGTTTTACGCCGCTTTTACCAATATTCTTGCAACCAGGGCGGGGGAGGGGGTGCCAGGAATGGGCTTCACAGAGTGTACCCTTGTGGAGAATCGAACAAGGATCTACAGCGTGACGAGCAAACACTTCACCACTAGACCACCCCACCGACCCCGTATCCAAAAAACCCAGCTGAAAAGATCAGTAGGTTTATCATTTTTTCTCTTCTAACACCGTGTGTTAAAGAAATACCTATCCAATATGTTATGCTACAGATGTCGTTAAAGCAAATCACACGAGAAATCGACTCTCTCTCTAGCACTGCCAGATACAAATCTCGGTGATGTCTGTAACTATTTAGCAGACAATATCAGACTTCAGCCCAGTGGAGCCATACACGGGACTAAATTCATCTCTGGGTGCAAATCTATTTTCACAAGTCAGTAATCGAATGTATCGCTGAGCCGAGAATCCCTGCTAACACGCTCTTCGGCGTGGTTGGTCTCGTTAGTTTCTCCGTGCCGTCATTACGCAATGACTTAATGCACCCACTGCAAGCTGCATCCTTTAATTATCTTCGTCAACCCAGTTATTTTCACAGGATGTCGTGACGAATGAATCCTTCTGACACAGGGGTTGACCGACCACCAGCTGAAACCAACGTCAGCGACAGCCTTCATTATCACATGGTTCGAGGAATGTTAACGATGATCTAAGCTCCGTTGACTATCAAAAGGAAACGGGTGTTATATATGAGCCCCCAAGAGCCATGGCCTAGTATAAATGGGGACAGGGCGAGCCACCCTGACATTAGAACAGGGCCACAGACACCTGCAGGCGTTATGGAAAGCCGCGTTCAGGCGATTGGGACGCTATCAGGAACTTTTAAAGTCATACTGCGTTCATTGAGACGTACCTCTCTGTGATGGTTATAGGCGAAACTCTAGGAAGTAGGGTTAGTCAGTGTTCACATGCGAGTGTAGCTAGGTCTCACATATATCTGTATGACGTGTACATGAGTGAGTGTAGCTAGGTTTCGCATATATCTGTATGACGTGTACATGAGTGAGTGTAGCTAGGTCTCACATATATCTGTATGACGTGTACATGTGTAGGTGTAGCTGTGTCTCACATATATCTGTATGACGTGTACATGTGTAGGTGTAGCTGGGTCTCACATATATTTGTATGACGTGTACATGTGTAGGTGTAGCTGGGTCTCACATATATCTGTATGACGGGTACATGTGTAGGTGTAGCTAGGTCTCACATATATCTGTATGACGTGTACATGTGTAGGTGTAGCTAGGTCTCACATATATCTGTATGACATGTACATGTGTAGGTGTACCTGGGTCTCACATATATCTGTATGACGTGTACAAGAGTGGGTGTAGCTAGGTCTCACATATATCTGTATGACGTGTACATATGTGGGTGTTGCTGGGTCTCACATATATCTGTATGACGTGTACATGTGTGGGTGGAGCTGGGTCTTACATATATCTGTATGACGTGTACATGTGTAGGTGTAGCTGAGTCTCACATATATCTGTATGACGTGTACATGTGTAGGTGTAGCTGGGTCTCACATATATCTGTATGACGTGTACATGTGTAGGTGTAGCTGGGTCTCACATATATCTGTATGACGTGTACATGTGTAGGTGTAGCTGGGTCTCACATATATCTGTATGACGTGTACATATGTAGGTGTAGCTAGATCTCACATATATCTGTATGACGTGTACATATGTAGGTGTACCTGGGTCTCACATATATCTGTATGACGTGTACACGAGTGGGTGTAGCTAGGTCTCACATATATCTGTATGACGTGTACATATGTGGGAGTAGCTGGGACTCACATATATCTGTATGACGTGTACATGTGTGGGTGTAGCTGGGTCTCACATATATCTGTATGACGTGTACATGTGTAGGTGTAGCTAGGTCTCACATATATCTGTATGACGTGTACATATGTAGGTGTACCTCGGTCTCACATATATCTGTATGACGTGTACATGTGTGGGTGTAGCTGGGTCTCACATATATCTGTATGACGTGTACATGTATGGGTGTAGCTAGGTCTCACATATATCTGTATGACGGGTACATGAGTGGGTGTAGCTAGGTCTCACATATATTTGTATGACGTGTACATGTGTAGGTGTAGCTGGGTCTCACATATATCTGTATGACGTGTACATGTGTAGGTGTAGCTGGGTCTCACATATATCTGTATGACGTGTACATGAGTGGGTGTAGCTAGGTCTCACATATATCTGTATGACGGGTACATGTGTAGGTGTAGCTGGGTCTCACATATATCTGTATGACGGGTACATGTGTGGGTGTAGCTGGGTCTCACATATATCTGTATGACGTGTACATGTATGGGTGTTCCTGTGTCTCACATATATCTGTATGACGTGTACATGTATGGGTATAGCTAGGTCTCACATATATCTGTATGACGTGTACATGTGTGGGTGTAGCTGGGTCTCACATATATCTGTATGACGGGTACATGTGTAGGTGCAGCTGGGTCTCACATATATCTGTATGACGTGTACATGAGTGGGTGTAGCTAGGTCTTACATATATCTGTATGACGTGTACATGTGTAGGTGTAGCTAGGTCTCACATATATCTGTATGACGGGTACATGTGTAGGTGTATCTAGGTCTCAAATATATCTGTATTACGGGTACATATGTAGGTGTAGCTGGGTCTCACATATATCTGTGTTCTCAGACACACGTGATTACACATACACATAACACAAAAAATGTAGACATCAATACGAAATCAATGAATTTCAATAATGCTCCCCAGGCCCAGTCCACCCTATTATAAACCAATCAGAAAACAGTATGCTGCTTATGGGCGTGGTCTAAGCCAGTCATATGCCGTGGAATCGTATACGATTGATTTATAAGCAGAAATAGTGTGAATCTAGTGTACAATTGTAAGTGCAAGGTTGGCCTCATGCACGTACACGCGAATCTAGTGCACATATGTAAATGCAAGGTTGGCCTCATTCACACACAGGTCAATCTAGTGCACATATGTAAGTGCAAGGTTGGCCTCATTCAGACACAGGTCAATCTGGTGTACAATTGTAAGTGCAAGGTTGGCCTCAATTTCGTTTACATATGCTATTTTTTGCCTCGTGCACACACGAGAACGTAAATACATTCCAACAATGTTACTGACATTTACAAATTAAATTAATTCTCCATTGTTAGTAGTTTCACTAAATCTTCGATTCTTACGCAGCAAAACTAAGCAGTGGATTTAAAAAACAGGAGAACATAGAAAACAGCTGAAGTTCCCCGAACACGTTCAAGTCGCCCGAACACTCTAATCTTTCGCCCCCTTTCACTCCCTCCCGCGTTCCATGACGTACGGGGGTTCTGTAAGATGGGTGGTGGTTACAGCGACCCACACAATAGAGCCTCTGTATCCTGGTGGGCAGGCTTACACTGAAAACGGTCTTTATTTGCGTGCAATGGGTCAAGAAATTATTTAATAGGAGAGACGTGAGCACACATCCCCCGTGGAGAACAAAGGTCGGGAACGTGTCCCAGAAGAGGAACAAAGAACATCCCCGTTCCGAAACATGATCAATTCAACATTAAATCGCCAGTGGGGATGTGTGTTATACTTTCGTATCGGTTTAAACAGCAGTATCCAATTTTCCTTTTTATTTGATTATGTGACCATGATCCTCATCTCGGGCGTGACCCTGGTTATGGGGCATTTTAGGGATCATTAGATATATTCGTTTTATTTTCTTAAGTGTCGTTGAATGTTAATTGTTGTAATAGTATCACGTTTAAAATGATGAAAAACGAACTTTCATTGCTTTTTAATCGACAAATTGGATCCTGTTTGTTA